ACTATTCATTAACTTCTTCTACTCAAATAGACAGAGAGAGATAAGGTAAAACAGTCCCCGCTATTTTCATGTGGTTGTGTTCTCTGAGCCAGATAGTTAATTTGCGAAGCTTTCATCGCCCTACTAGGCGACATGAAGATGTCGCCACATTAAAATCATCCATCTGAGCTACAAATCTTCTCTATCATATTTAAGTCCCCACTATTCACTGAAGGTAACTGGTTTTTTTCAAAATTAACTGAACTTATTCACAATCTTTTTATGAATGAAATCAGTATCAATAATATTGCTGCTACAAAGCAAATGAAAAGGATGATGAGTGAAGGTCAAACAAAAGTCTGGGTCACAGACAGTCTTTGAAATGCTGGCCTATAGCTGTGCGACACATGGTCAGCATCTGGGTCTGTGAATCGATGGCTGTCGCAGACAGTTCCACCATCAGTTTTTATTTGTGATAATCATTCAACAGTTCAAAAATACTGTTCATCCAGGAGTTATTATCACCAAGGTAACTGTTTCACTCGTCACATTCCTTTTGGCAAATAGGTCAAAATATTCGTTTTATTGCAAGATATTTCAAGGGTTATTTCCCTTTCGTTCCGAGTGGAACATACTGCTTCCACAGCACACCTCCATTGTGTCCTATTCTCCACTTGTCATCTTTAGCTTGACCAATGATTTCCCATAATCTCCAATCTCCTTTTCGTACGACTTCATCCGTGCTACCCTCAGATATCCCACTTGGCGTTTCTCATTCGTGTTCCATTTGAGGACCGTGATAGCGATTCCGTTCAACGGTCTCCTCATCGAACATCAGATCCATGTCCATTTTCTTCAAAATATTTATTGAGCGATAGGCTCCTGGGTAGTTTGTTCCTATATTTTCTTGCTGCTAATTCTTTCTGGCCATTGAGTTTTCAATGTGGAGCGAAGGCAGCTGTTGATAAAGGTCTGTACCCTCTTAAAAATGGCTTTCTTGACGCACCAAGTTTCGGACCCATATAGTAGGACTGACGGTTTATCTAGTGTGATAATTTCGTGTTGATATATCTACTTGAGTATTACCAGAGCTTCTTGGCGGAACGACATATGCTTCAGGGTTTTTATTCCTTTCTACAATCAGAACAGTAACCTCAAGGAGATATTTTGTTGAATGTGTATGTTGACTTTATTGAAATGAAAGCGACGTGCCTGTGCATTAATTCACATACCAACAATACATGTGCTTACACAATCTATAATAATCACATATGTAATTACATAATGTATTTCAGAGCAGAATTCCTCAAGTTATTCAGTGGTATGAAAATTCTATCGTCTCACATTAGGCATATCTCATGGGTTTACTGATTTTCGTGAAGAAGTCTAGTTGGCAAGAATTGCTTTAATTCTCTGCGTGTACCACCTCTCTATTTGAAAAACAGCTTGGTCATTGTTTTAGCTTTATTGAACGAAAATTCAAGATACTGAAGTCATACTTTTATGTGAGAAGGTAAAAACTCTGTCTGCTGCTTCCAGCTTAAAGAGTAAGGTTCGCATCTTTGAAAATAATGTTGAATCAGCGCTTCCATGTATTGCAGAGACTTGGCGTCTCACGAAAGGTATTTCCAACAGGCGACTGCAAACTTTTATCAACAACTGCCTTCACTACATACTGAAGATAAGATGGCCAGAAAGAATTCGAAACAGGTAACTCTGCCAGTGAACCAACAGAGAAGCTATCACCCAACAGGAAGAAACGGAGATGGATGGGCACAATCTGCGAAGATTGCTGAGTGACATCCCACGCCAAGTCCTGAAATGGGATTTGAATGGGCGTTGGTTCGAGGTTGACATGAAGGCGATCATGTGAGAAGAGAATGAAAGCTGGTGGAGAATCGCAGAGCTGACTAAACAGGACTACAGAGATGTGCTGGTGAATCCTTATGTTCCATTTAGAAGCCAAGGAAATAATAATAATTTATTTTGAATTCGACTACTGGAGGGGAATTAGCAATCAAAATTTCTATCCCATGATATAATTCCTATGAAGGATAGATACATTCGTATACAAAAGCTAATTTACAAAATCTGTGTGTATGAAGCATATGAATTTATTCATTAAAATTCAATTTTTGCGGAGAAAGAGGTTCTGGTAAAAAATAACTAAGGGAAAGTTATCAGGTCATACGATGAAAAAACATTGAGCAACAGTAAATGAATCAGGTGGAGATAAGTTGTGTAAGGCATTATGCTACCATAATTGATTCTAAGTAGTAACAGTTATACCATGCAGCCAGTAATTTCGGCAGTATTGTATTACTCATTCAGACAGCCTGTACCCCATGGATTAACATTTAAAGTCTTCAGATCTCAACAGTGTATTTTAGCGTGTCTGCCTCTTAAGTCACTTCGAAAAAAATCTTCTGCTGATATAAAAATAAGGTAAGCAGGGATGAAATGTATAGTGAGTGCCTTTCAACAGCAGGATCTATGGTTTGATGAAGTCAAATGGAAAGTACGCTTACGTTTTAAAGTTTGAGGTAAGGTAGACGTCTAGTTGACAGATCTTGAACCAGGTCTTAAAACTGTTATTTCCAAAACTCATATTAAGAGAAAAATAATTGCTGAGTCTATAACCTTGTTGAGAGATCTAATTTTCCAACATGTATCGTAAGAGTTCATCTTTCTTTTAAACCTGAAGTAACCAATGTTTGAAACAAGCCACACGAGCCTATGCATCTTCTAACGAAAATTACCATCAATTTATTTAACAGTTGGCGTGAAATTTTTAATTTATTTTAAAACTACCTTTCAGGCATAGATATTGTCATCAATTTATTGTTGCTTACAATTTCATTAGCTATATTTTTAAGTAATAAATCCTTTTGTCAAGATCTCACTTAGATTGAATGTGAATATTAGCTGAATAAATGGCAATTGTTTAAGAATTCGACTATTATCTTACATTTTCCTATTTATTATCCTAGTCACTGCCCTTGTTACTGAATGATTCACCTTTATCCCTATAGTTCATACAGTTAATTCACATGATCAACTCACTGAATTCTTAGAAAGTAAGAAGTATTTAAAATCTACACAGATTTTGTTACTTAGATTTTAATTGGACGATTAATTAGCGATCGAAGTAATGCGAACGCACGATTGACCTTGAAGCCACCAATCAGAAAAACCAGTGTTTTTGTTTTACTCGAAAATGCCGTTTAATTACGAGAAAAAATAAGATAAGTAATTGTGGATACCCTAAACCTTTTTAATAGAAAGAAAAGGATAAAAATAAAACACCCTTACCCTAATCCCAGAAGTAATCGTAAGCCTATTGCTAACTGTAGTCCCAATACTAACCCTGACCCTAATCCTAACCGTAATACTAACGTGCTATCAACCCAGTGTCGAAACAGTACTTAAAAACGAGATCAAGATGAAATCTGCATCCCAGTGCGTGCTCAGGGTTCATTGTGGTTCAGTAGTGTTGGTAGGTACCATTCATCAACGAATGTTATGCGTTCAAGATCATTAGTGCGTCCGCGCTCCTGGATAGCTATCCTTTACCTTTCACTCGAATCCACCTAATATTCACTATAACTTAGGCAGCTGGTGCGTCAATTTTTCTGATGATCATTGTATAAATCAGAATCAACCGATCGTTTGTTTTTCAAGTTAAATAAAATTCGCTAGTGTTCAGTGATGCTCAAAAAGAACAACACTCGTTTCACACAAGTAAACAATAGATTCTAACTGGCAGCATTCTATCGCGTTTGACATTTAACTACACTGAGACGTTAGTTAACAGACAGGTTCACCTGATGAATACTTGATTTTTGTTGGCTATCCTCATCAGCTTATGCTTGCAAAATTAGAGCTGGATCTGTTAGTAATCTTTTAGTTAATGTGCGTGCTATTTATTCAACAATAGGTATATGAATTTTTGATAGCAGCCATAAAACTCAAAGCTTAAATTACATAGACTGGCCACTATAGATCGATTATCCACTTGATTGTATGAATGCTTATTTATGCGTTTTAAAATTTTTTATTTGATATACAGTACCATCACCAACAACAGGAGAGATTTAGCAGAGGCTACTATCTTCCTTCATTTATCTAGGAAGCGTCGTTTCAACTACAGGCAGTCGGAACGGATAAAGGTGTCAAAGCCAACCAGAATCGGGAAGGCAAGATACGCCTTCATCAACCTGTAACCAGTTTGGAAATCTTCTGCACTCTGCCTCAGCATAAAGAACAAGATTCGAATTTTCAACACCAATGTCAAGTTGGTTCTTCTGTATAGGTCAGAAACATGGAACATCAAGAAAAGCATTTCCAATAGGTTGCAGACTTTCATCAGCATCTGGCTTTGCTGGCTCTGTACTGTTGATCAAATGGCCAGAAAGAATGAACAACAAGAAACACTGGCTGGAAACAAACCAACCATGAATCGATTTCTTAACAAATATGTAGGAGAAAATGGAGATAGGTCGGGGATACGTTGAGGAGGCCGTCGAATGACATCACAGGCCACTTCCCAAGTAGAATCCAAATGAGGAGCGACGAGTGGGTCATTAATGCGAGGGGGACATGGAGGAGATCGCGTGGGGAGGAGAAGATGAGAGATTATGGTAAACTGTGGGCTCAGCTGAAGAGGAGAGAAGAGAATAGAACAAAGTGGAGATGTGTTGTAGAAGCCTTATGTTTCACTCTAAAGCTAAGGGAATAACAATAATTAATATAAATAGTTTAGGTTATACAATTAAATTTATATGATGTGGTAATTTAAAATGACAGAATCTCGATGAAAAATTAATTGATTAAAAGAAATCCACGTGAAACGAACAATAATTATCATGAATAAAATGTAGTCGTCTCACAGAGAAGACTGTCTTGTATTAGTTGACATAATGATGCGACAAAATGTTTAAGGATGAAATGTTTCTTTCTGTTTGATGAAATCTATTTTCTAACTTGAAATTCTTATCCACTTAGGAAATGGACAGTAGCGGTCAACCACGGGAACATTGAGTTTCTTGTGCAACTCTCTGAAATAAAAGAAGTAAAATGAGAAGTAGTTAATGTAGCTGTACTGGAAAATAAGCAGTGCATTGATAACTTCAAAGATGTCTACTTAAATGACTCAAAGTTCTTTCAGCAGTTGGCATTGTAAGGCGTAATTACCATAAGAAGAACACAAAAGAGTAGTTGCTGTCAATGCATTGTAATATAATATAAGATTCACTTACCCAGTACGATCAGCAGTCGAATCGAAGAAGTGAGTTTCATCCTATTTGAGAACATTTTGGTTATCTTTAATTGAAAACTACTCGAAGAAGCCACCATCTAAAACACTGAAATACTTGTTATTCATGAGACATTTTACAGTAGTTTTCCTTCAATATGATTTCTTCACATAGTGATAAAATAATTTGTATTCAAAAATATTTTGAAGAATAATTTGCAGGAGTAAAACCATAAGTCACAGTTAGTGTTTGTCAACTTTAATATAAAATACAACTTTTAGTGGCTGCCCGTTTGAATCACTAGGCTGCTTGAATTTTATCCAATAAGATGCTTCATATTTTTTTTCTAATTCTAATTTGTTTTAACTATTCAAATATATGTGATTGAATCGCAAAATGAAGTCACGCATATTTTTAACTACCCTTTAGAGTACAGATACGCATGTTTTGAAGACGAGGAAAAATATCTCATGGGTGATTAATCTGTGGTTTAAATCGAACAGCAATACATCTCATTATATAACACAGATTGCTATTTTTGCTTGAAAATTCTGGACGAAGAGAAAATATTATACAGCAAATTACTCTGGGAATTCTGCAGATTGTATAAATATTTTTTCCGGAATAAAGTTGTTGCTTATTATGAGTGACATTTGAAATGTCTAATCCTAAATAACAGTTACAATATCAGTTGATGCGATTTAGTCAAACAAAAGATAAGATAAAATCTATTCATAGTTACCAGTGTATAGTGCTTTTAGCATTAAACTTTGATTTACTACAATGCAGTAATGTGTGCTTCCTTTCTGGAATTTTTAACTTTGTTTTGGGAAATACACATTTTAGTTTTTTCCAGAAATTGCATTAACAAGTAATTAGGGCTATTTTTAGCCTTCAGAAAAAACAAATACCTTTATAAGTTAGATTATTCAAAATCTTTATAAGAATGTTTTATTAAAAGAACAAAGATTGATGTAAAAACTGAAAACGCTTTTCATTCGAACAGATATGAGTTTTATGTGCAGAATTGTCAGCTTAATTTATCGCATAATATTTCGTCTTTATATTGGACCTTCAAGTAAAAAATAGCAATCTACAGTATACCACATGACTCATTATTGTTCACTTTGAGGAATAAATTTGCCCCTTCACTCCCAAGAAATGCATATTGGTAGTTTTTTTTCCTTAACGTTCCCCGGTGGAACATAGGGCTTCAAGCTAGTGACCTGAAGTTTCTGTAGCAGTGTTTACTTTACAGGATGGGGTTGCTAGCCTCATGTCCAACCTTTCCTCTACACTAGCATTATTTCTGGCTTAGCGAGATAAAAGAGTGCGTCGGCCGGGGATCGAACCCCGGACCATGTGGATGGTCGGTAGTTTTAAAGCCAATTAGAAAAGCATGAGAGTACATTTCGTCACTCGAAGACACAGTTGCATCAATAAAACAATATGAACTAGAGAAAATAAGATGGGTTGTGTTGGACGGAAATTCAGATAGCCCAGTGATTTAAGTAGGCGGCCTGGGAAAATACTGGTGCTAGATAAAGAGTTACTGTTATTCATAACCTTAGTCATTTAACGTTCATTTTGCTCACTCGGTATCTATTTTAAAAATAATGTGAATTTCACGGTACGTAAGCCATAAAATTAATAAAAGAGTTCTCATCTACAAATCCCATAATACTAATTTAAAATATGATTGGAAATTCCGTAAGTTTCTATTTTTCATTTTGTTGAATAAGAATAAAAGTAATAAATTTATTCCGAAAAATAATTTTTATTTTCGAGTGTCAATTTGTAGAGATTTGATTGGTTTCAAGTTTGACCATGAATTAGTATCAGTTAGAGAACCAATCAAATTCATGAAGTACTGGCGAGCAATTCTGCTCTTGTTTGCGGCTGTCCAACAGTACATTTCCATGAACCTACTGGGGAGTGAACCCAGGATCGTCTGGTTATGAGACGAGCTCATCGACCGTTCAATAGCTGGGCCGGAATTTTTGGCCAGCGCATAAATTCTTCTTTCTGTTAATTGAGGGGTTTTAAGGCTACAATCAGACAATGCCTTTGGTAAGTATTTATCCTGATGCTCAACCTGGTCGATCTCATTTGTCATGACTTCTCACAAGAAGTCCAGGTAACTTCATACTGTAGTCAGTCACTAGTTTGACTATGGATTCATACCGTTTAGGGAAGCATTGAAAATCAAGGAGTACTGGACAGCTGTTGCGTCCCAGTTCGGGACTTTTCAACAGTAGGCTCCCACTGGAGTTCGAACCCAGCGCTGGGTTACAATCCCTGTCAATTCATTATTTTAGCGCGAACATCAGCCAATGTCATAGGCGAGTTTTTGTTCTCAAACGCAACCTGGTGGCCCCCATTGTTTACGATTTCTCACTAGAGCCCTTTAACCGGTCACTAGACAACATCAGATTAATTTTCAAGGGTCCCAGAATAAGATGAAACAGCTATCCAGTACTCCCTGATTTTCAACGCTTCTCTAACTGACATCAATCCGTGGTCAAATTTGAAGTATATCAAATCCCCACGAACTAATATTTGAAGATTTTTACGGATTATTAAGTAAGTTTATAAGCTGTTTTATAACATTTATCTCTTCCTAAACGAAATCGGTACTAAATCAGGTGTGGCTGAATTCTTGTATATTTGGCCGTTTATGCATAAAATCCTCTGAAATTGTTTCTCGTTTTACTAGAACAGATACAAGGATAAAGCTGCGAATATCAAGAGGATTTTCAGTATGTGGTGACATGAATTTGGTCGATCGCTTACATGAGTTAAAGTGCCTATCAGTGAGAATGTCGGTTAGTTGGGGTCAAAGGCACACCACTAATCATGCTTACAGACTCCACAGTCCTACGTAATATAACGTAGCCTTTTTTGAACAGTCCAACGAAGAATAAGAAGGGTACAATAAAGAAGAATTGGTAGAATACATGAATTAATATATTGTAAGGGGAGAGGTTTACTTAGGCCAGAAAGCCTGAACTTTCTTATGTAGGAAGTCGAACAAAAGATTTTTCTGGTTCTCTAACTGATGTCAGCTCATGATGAAATCCTCCATACAATTTTTTTAAAAACTAATAAGATATGTGACTATCGGTGTTACTCAGTAATTACCAAAATTATTTTGCAAACTTAGTCAAAACTGAGATTTAATCAACAACTAATCCATCTTGAGGAGATATCCTTATATCCCTGTAATTTGATCACTTTGAACCAATAAACCAAAAGAAGGTAAACTTTTAGTGAACAGTAACAACCAAGTGGTATCTGTTTTGATTAGGTAGCTTGGAGGATAAAATTTTAGAAATTTAAGATGTGATAGTCTCCAGTGTAGAAGAAGAAATCAACTACCTGAATAAAATTTGAACACATCTAGTTGATGTTTCCTAAGTGGGTCGAAACCAACCTCCTACAACCTGTTATTAAACAAAACCAAATAAGCATTTCCCAAGCAGTTCTACTTTCTATGTCTCACTTATTTTGTTTCCACCCACGTTATTTCTTGACCAAGTTATTGGTAGACAGCCTACGAAACAATTGCGAACCAAAAAATAACAAAATAAAAAAGCAAACAAAATACAACCAGAATAATTAATTAAATACAGAAAATACAAACATACTGTCTCTGGTATTTTATCCTGAGACTGATAATATGTTTGATCGCCTGAAATCTGTTTATATGCATCAATTCTTTGACATAAATCAACAAATTTCTCTTCAAATGGATATTTCCCTGATATATCAATATACAAACGTGTACCCATCATAAAGCCTAACCAACCATTAGGAACATATCCACGTTCTACACGTAGAAAAATCAGCGGTTTCTTTTCATGATAAGCATATTGAGCCTCTGAAAAATAGAAGCAACAAGTAATGACTATAAATTGCAAAAATATTTGAGGCGACAACGAAATGTACCGTACACGAAATGTACCTTACACGAAATTTCATATTAGTTTATTATATATGCAAGAGACAGTGATACAGTAGTAATGACTGGATGACGTTTTGAGTACAATTTATTACTCAAAATCATATCAATGTATTCATACGGCTTCATAATTTGCTCTGTATATTTCTTCTCTCTCCCTAAATAAATTTCTAAATTCATTTAAATTTCCCATATATCCGGAATAGATATTGCCTCATTTCGATTACACGATGAACAAAGATTTGGTGATTTACCTCCCTCCCTCCCCCTGAGTGTGTTACTTTTTAATATTGTCACCTCACTGCACCCTATTGTGTGGTCATTTGTGTGTCCGAGTTTTTCATCTAAATTATTTAACAATATAAGGGTGAGACTATTCTAGGTTTGGCTCAATTTCTGTATTCTGATAATCTAATTGATCCCGATCGACTAATGTGACTTGCGTAATTGACCTCATAGTTATAGCAAGATATTTAGTAAATTATATTATTTTTTAAAATTGGATTTATCGGGTCAAAAAGTCGACAAAGGTTTTCTCTGAGTGATTTGGTTTGTGTAAATGTCATCCTAATTGCAGAGTCATTGAGAATCCTACTTAGGGCTTCTGATGTTCCTTCTCTATGCAGCAGTGTTATTGAAGCTTTCGGTTCCTTATTACTTCCACTATTTACATTATCAACCTTATTTTCCTTATGGGTCTCCATCTATCTTTGGATAAAATCTGGTGGGTAGTCATTTACTAGAAATGTGTCTTTTATTTGCTTCATTTCATTATTGACATCTTTTGACTTACTAGTTAGATTCTTGACTTTTATTATTACCTATTTTTGGTGGCAGAATTTTAAGTACCTATTAGGATGTGTTGATTTACTGTAGGTACTAGTATAACATCAGAAGGCAAGACACGGAAGCCAGTGCATATTTTCAAGTGATCTATACAGTTCATATTCTTTAACCAACCACTGAGCTTGTGATTTTGGTTTACATCAAACGGCATGAAAGCGAATGTTCAGATTCATACATTATTCTGTTGCTAATGCATTACTTAACTATAGGGAGTAGTATTAAGATGTTAACACCAACAAATACAATGACTCTTACTGTGAGAATAATATTCCGTTGGAATTCATTGTCTGTATCACACCACCAGACTAGTATATAACCCACCAACCTGTTTACTTTCGATTTTACAGTCTGACACAGTCTAAATTATCCGGTTAATTTTCTAACTTAAAAGTGAATTGGATCTCATTTACCACTGAAATTATGCGTGTGAAGAACTTAAGGATATTTTCAGTTTACATAATACTGAAAAATTATCTAGTGGTTGCTTGGATAGTTGAAAAAGTGTGTACATATAAGTCATGTCTGTAAACATAAGATCATGAAATTATCTTATAAAATAATAAACGTGTTGTCCTCTAGAATGACTGACTGGAATTTGTATTAATACGAATATGTCTGTTCCGCATATGTGTGAAAGCTGACATTCATCCTAATTTCTTTCTCAAAGCATCAGTTACTATTTCCAAAAACCTACTTTTTTCCTTTTTCCCCATTTTCTGTCACTCAGTAATTTTTTCCAGATTGTATGCAGTTGTTAGAACAAAAACTCTGAAAACTAGGGAGTACTGAATAGATTTTCCGCCCCAGCTTGGGACGCTTCACCAGTACGCACCCAACGAGGTTCGAACCCAGGACCTCACTTTTACAATACGAGCTCAGTGACCATTCTCTAACCGATATCAGTCCAAGATCAAACTCAAAACAAATCAAATCCTTAAAAATTAACTCTTGAAAATTAATCTGATGCTCACTAATGGCTGGCTAGAAGGCGATGTCTGGAGTTCCGGTGAGAAATCGTGACCAGTGAAGTCCACGCCGTTAGGCGTGAGGAAATAAAACCCTGAAGTGAAGTAAAACTTGCTCTATTCCACAGTGTACAAGTTTATCAAGCTAAGCGAATATCGAAATATGCGAGACATTTACTAGTAGACTTATTAATAGACAACACATATTTTAAGACTTATTTGTATTCATTGAATAAGATTTGCTTCATCCTGTTTACACTTTGACTAAATGAGCACTTTTACTCACTGTATATTTGACCTGTACGTATGAATCAAGCTTTAAGGTTTAGCTGAAAAATGTCTCAACATTCAAAGGGAAATAATGATTGCAGATATGTCTAGTAGACTTTACCATTTCACTAATTCAATTATTACTTCGATTCGGGTATGTAGAGAATTACTACCGAATCTCTATTACTATTATTAATAGTATTCAAGTTTAATGGATGCCTGCCTCTGAGATAAGTTACCAAAATGAACAAATTCGATCAATATTTGTTTATGAGAAGAATCACTCATATATTATATTTGATTATCACCCTAGTGTGTCTAAAGTCAGTAGAACACTGGTGTAGTTAGTTACTGTTCATGGTATCCGACAGTTCCAGGTTGAGTCAGACAAGGGGCACTGAACAGACAGAGATTCTCTGACTGATATAGCTTTCTCAGACTTCACTTTTTACTCCTTTGCGTTCCAACATATAGCCTAAAGCTCCACGATTTGGAGTTTCACTAGTGGTGTTGTTGTTTTTACAGGGTGAGGTTGCTGGCCTCACGTCCAGCCTTCCCTCTTTACTGGACTTACTTACTACCAGCTAAGAGAAACATAAGAGTTCGGCATCTGGGTATAGAACCAACAACGCCAGTGTAGCTGGCCAACATTCCACCTATGAACTACCAACGCTTTTCTTTTTTTTGATTACAGCTTGATGCCACACCGTATTTTCAGTACAAGTATGGCATTTTCAGCATGGATATCGGTAGCCCAAATTTCGCAGGCCGACCATAGATATCAGTTGTGCGTCGGCAGGGGATCGAACCCCGGACCATGTGCATGGTCGGCGAGGGTGCTAACCACTGTGCCACCGACGCACAAAACACCACTGATATCATTACTATTCTTATTGTAATCATCACTCAACTTACCACATTTTGTGTTAAAGCTTTCCTTATAAGATTTCGAATAGAGAATGCAAACGACAAATGAATTCTCCACAGCTTTAGCCATACCATCCATAATATCAATTTCGTGTAGCATGTCTTTATAGTCAACCCATACCTGTATGAGTATAGCAGGAAAACAGATTCAAGTGAAAAATATTAATTCACCATTTCTACTATTTTTTTTAACGGTAAAAATTTCAGATGAAATAATACTGAAATTGCTGAAGTAAAGAAGTTTTTTCGTCAAAGCATAACAAAGTATGCTTTCTTAAAGAAACAAGAAAAAAATTGTATCACTTTGTTTCATAAATCAGTATGTGTGCCGTATTCCTGTATGGACTTAGTCACCAAATAAAAACAATAAAATTGATGTATAATAACTGGAAGCTAGTCAGAACCTTAAAATCACAAACTTGCTACAGCCCTCTTAGCTGCGGTGACCAAGTAACATTAAAACAAAATGCTGAAGTGGTGAGTTGTGTTAGATTATAATAAAACTAAGCCATTAGTTATTTTTACCATTTTATTATGATTCCAATGAGCTAGTTACTACTCAATAAATAATAAATTATATCATAAGTAAAGTGTGATAACAATTAAATAACATTCTGGTTAAAGGAGGGATTTGAAGGGATTTTGGATTAATTTCAACTCTTAGATTTCTATCCTGAACCAGATTAACTCAGAGAGGTCAATGAAAGCCAAGGAGTACTGGACAGCTGTCTCGTCTTACTTTCGGACTCCTCAACAGGGTGCAACCACTACCTCACTAGGGATGGAACCCGGGACCTCTAGGTAAGTTACGACACCAAGCTTTGTTGACTATTCGGCCATTTGAGCTGAAATCTGGCGCTGTCCACACCAGTGTCGTTGGCGTTGACATCAACCTTGACATGGTGGATCCCACTGGTGATGACTACTTACTATGGCTTCAGGAAATCCATCCAGTAACTATCAGTGAGTCGGCGACTGATATTCAGACTGCAGGATATGTGAGGATTTTGGATTAATTTCAACTATTAGATTTTCTTCATTAACAGAAATCATTTAGTTGAGGTGATGGAAAACCAAAGAGCACTAGACGTCAGTGGTCAGATCCCTGGCTTGTCTGACAGTACATACTGATGATGAGTCCCAAATAAGACAAAGTAGCTTTCACTAGTCCTCGGTTTTTAATGATCTCTCTCAATAATGTTGGTTCGTGAAAAAAATCATAAATAGCAGACAAAAATAGGTCGTTACTTGCATGTTTGTACTGCACAACGTAGCCTGACACCTAATATTTCTAAATCACAATAACTAAAGGACATTTGGTCTTAAAAGCTCCTTAAAGTTCATAGAAAGATCTACAATTTAAATAAAATGATGATAAAAATTTTTAAGCACACACATTTAAATTTACCTTGTAACCTTTCTCTTGTAATAATTGCACCAAATTAATTGCCACATCTTTCTCTTCATGACTGTAACTAATTAACACATGCTGATTTGTATCATTTGAACCTATACTGGATTCAGTGTGAATAAGCCAGTCACCTTTACTACTGACGTCTTCAGGTGGCGAAACGCTTTCAGTAATATTAACGCCTTTATTATCATTAGAAAATATTACTTTTCTTGTACTCGCAATTAAATATTTTCTAATAAGTTTCATGGTGTCAATAAAGTATAAACATAGCAAGTAAGTGAACATTAAAAACCTTGGCATATGTGGTATATGTGGTAATTTCTCATTCCCAGAAGTGAAGTGAAGAGCAGACAATTCGAAAGAGTTCCTACATCCTTTTAATAGTTATATACAGTTTCTTTTAATTCAAATTGTCTAAATTTACTTATTTCATGAATAATTTGACTATATTTAGGTAATAATTTAACTTTATGGGTAATACGCTCCTGGAATAGCTTTCTATTACGTAAAGTAAAGTTTCATGGACAAATTTATCTCCTGAGTGTGTCATTTAACTTCTAAAATAAGGATGAGCTGAATAATTTTTCCATTATGTGATTGTTCCCACTCCTTTAGTAAAATTTTGTCTACTTGCAAATTATGAGTAGTATCGTTGATTTTGTGAAAGTTTCTCCCTCCGTGGTGTTTCGAATACTACTGGTTTTAATTATAGAATGAAATATTTGTTTAGACAATAAAAATTTCCATTAGAACTTCTAAAACTTGTACCAAAATGATCTCTATTTATCAATTTCATGCATAATTACCGTTCTTTTCCTCAAATAACACCTGATTTTTCGGTGATTTCTACTCTATTTAAGGGGTATGACATAAATGTATGTATTTCACAATTTGTTAATATTCCATTACATCACAAATCCAGTTCCCACTTTGTGATCCACTCAGTAAAATGGTCTTTGGGGGCAGTGTTGGACAAGGAATTTCATTTTATCAATCTCTAGATGTACTGAATAGATTGTTTGCTACGATGCATCGCATTTTTAACCTATATATATATATATATATATATATATATATATATATATATATATATATATATATATATGTATATATCTTCAGTACTAAGCATTAAGAAAAAAATTCGGACTTTTAACACTAATGTTAAGTCAGTCAGTTCTCCTATATTGATCAGAAACTTGATGCCTCACGAAAAGCATTTCCAATGGACTGCTTCAAACTGTCATCAACAGCTGCCCCTTTCTCTAGCGACGTACTGAGGATCAGATGGTCACAAAGGATTAATAACCAGAAACTCTTGAAACGAACCACTCAAGAACCTATCATCTGAAAAATATGGAGGAGTAAATGGAGACAGACTGGACAAACCGTTGGGTGATATCTACCACCTGGCTCTGCAGTAGAAGTCGAAGGCGAAACGACGCGTTGAGAGTTCGAGGATGGTATGGAGGTGATCGTGTGACAGTCTGTGGTCTACACAGGACAGGATACAGTGGAGATAGGCTAATGCAGCCCTACATTCTACCAGCTACTTAAAGGAATTATGTATGTGACATGGTTATGTGGATTCACTTTCTGTACTCTGACACATAAATTAACTCTTTGAACAAGATCCGGATAGTCAGCTGGTTATAAATCTGGTGCTTTGAGGTCCTCATACCCTTTATTCATCTTTCTAAATTTGCACCGGTCAAAGTCAGAGAAGTTGTTTGTTTCTTATGGAGTAATTTTAACAACCTTCACTACTTAGCACTATATATCTGCAGTATTCATTTTATTGTGATGTAGGATGTCCTGTCTCAAAATTTATTATTATTATTGTTTCCTTTAATTCCTAGAGGAACATAGTGCTTCAGCCGTGCGTCTCCATTGCGTTCGGTTCTCTGCCAGAGTCTTCACCTGGCTCCAAGTCTGCCTACACGCTTTCATCTCCTCTTCACATGACCTCCTCCAAGTCACCCTCGCACTGACGACCAACTCGCCGCTTCCCCTTTCGGGTTCCACTCGAGCAGTGGCTTGTCTAGTGATGTCACTTGATGGTTTACTTTTCCAGAGCATGGCCAATCCATCTCCATTTCTTCCTTCTTATTTGTTTCACAACCGGCTCCTGGTTGGTTCGCTCCCAGAGATCCCTGTTGCTGATCTTTTTTGGCCATGTGATCATGAGTATTGAGCGAAGATAACTGTTAATGAAGGTCTGTAGTTTGTTGGAGATGCTCTTTATGAAGCGCTGGCAAAGTCTCTGATCCGTATAGTAGCACATTGGAGTTGAAAATCCGGATCTTATTTTTGATGCTGTGTGCTGTTGACCTCCACACAGACTTGAGAGTAATGAAGGCTTGTCTTGCTTTCTCGATTCTTGCTTTGATATCCTCGTCAGTTCCTCCTGTAGTTGAGACGATGCTCGCTAGGTAGGTAAAAGAGGTTGTTTCTTTCAGGTTCCTCCCATTTATGCTGATCGTTGTCTGTTGTTGTTTTTCTTGTCCAGGAATCTTCATTACTTTGCTTTACTATCTCTTAGTAATAGGTGGAGCTTTTCTAGAAAATAACATGGCCAACACATATCAGATAAATCCAGTGACACATAATTATTGCTTTACAAATAATTTGCAACATGCAGGTATTCATATTTCAGCGAATTGTGGTGTTTTATTCCGTTTGTAAAAATGTTGCAAATGAGAAAGCTGATTACAGAATAACCATGACTGCCTAAAGATAATAAAGTGAGTGAGCTCAGTGAATCAAGTAATTACATTAGAGTGGTAATAAATCAACTCAATTCATGGAAAGTTAACATACGGAATACCGACGAGTTGATTCACAAAAATCTACATAAGGACTTAATATAAAGAGACAAAAAGTGGTTTAGTGAAGAGACTCATTTCTAAAGTTTCATGTATAACAGCTGTTCAGTTATTTACAACCTGATACGCGCAAATGACTGCAGCCACTGCTGCAGGATGAAATTTCCTAGAGTTCTATTGGGAAGTCGTAATCAGTGAGGTTCACTAGGTTGGCAGTGACGACAAATACTCGCTGATGACACTGGCAGGGGGACGCGCTGAATTTTGAAATTGGTAGAGGTTATAATTCATGAACCGTTGAGTCGGATCCCAGTGGCTGAATGATTTATGAGGTTTCTCTGCAACCGGGTTCAGAACCTGGTGGGTGCGTACTACCAAGGAGTCCCAAACTAGGATGAAGCAGCTGTCCAATGCTACCTGGTTTTCAATGATTCTCTGTCTGATATCAATCTGCAATCAAACTTATTTATAGCATACTAAGCGTTTGCTGTTTACTCTGATGCATGCGAACTGGTTTTTCGTGCAACTTATTAAGACGAAAAACTTATTTTTAGAATTTCAGAGTTCAGTGATTTAAGCAGTTTTTGTATGTTTTGGTCAAAATGTAAAATAAATTGAATAAATGTAACGAATTGCTTGACAAAACGTACCAGGATGTGCTGGGATTTAAAGAAAATTTGACATTAAAGGAAAGATAAACTGAGTGAGAGAAATATGAAGTTATTTTGAAATTTTATTTGTTACGAAACAGTAAGAGAGTTAACAGTCCACTTTTCCTTATGAAAAGCTGCATCTGCATGAAAGGTAGGTAAACGGTGTCTCCTGAAAGTTCATCTTACAATTATCACTGAAGGAGGAGTCTGTTAAGATTAATTGATCAGAGTTGATGAGATGCTAAATTATTACACTAGTTGTTACTTCTGGACATATGAATTACCCTTTGTGAATTTGAACAGAGATAGAACAAACCTTCGTACAGAATAATATGGATTGACTTCACTGGTTCTCATGAGCTATAATATTTAATAAAATTACGAGGAGGTGGGTAAAACAAACAAGAAGAGAAAGAGTTAGCAAGGTAATCAAAGTCCTACGACGGATTCCTCTTGAACAAGTAGATCACGCCTCAGTCAGTCTTTTTACTGCGGTATTATTATTATTGTATCCTTTAATTCCTAGAGGAACATAGTGCTTCAGCCGTGCGTCTCCATTGCGTTCGGTTCTCTGCCAGAGTCTTCACCTGGCTCCAAGTCTGCCTACACGCTTTCATCTCCTCTTCACATGACCTCCTCCAAGTCACCCTCGCACTGACGACCAACTCGCCGCTTCCCCTTTCGGGTTCCACTCGAGCAGTGGCTTGTCTAGTGATGTCACTTGATGGTTTACTTTTCCAGAGCATGGCCAATCCATCTCCATTTCTTCCTTCTTATTTGTTTCACAACCGGCTCCTGGTTGGTTCGCTCCCAGAGATCCCTGTTGCTGATCTTTTTTGGCCATGTGATCATGAGTATTGAGCGAAGATAACTGTTAATGAAGGTCTGTAGTTTGTTGGAGATGCTCTTTATGAAGCGCTGGCAAAGTCTCTGATCCGTATAGTAGCACATTGGAGTTGAAAATCCGGATCTTATTTTTGATGCTGTGTGCTGTTGACCTCCACACAGACTTGAGAGTAATGAAGGCTTGTCTTGCTTTCTCGATTCTTGCTTTGATATCCTCGTCAGTTCCTCCTGTAGTTGAGACGATGCTCGCTAGGTAGGTAAAAGAGGTTGTTTCTTTCAGGTTCCTCCCATTTATGCTGATCGTTGTCTGTTGTTGTTTTTCTTGTCCAGGAATCTTCATTACTTTGCTTTACTATCTCTTAGTAATAGGTGGAGCTTTTCTAGAAAATAACATGGCCAACACATATCAGATAAATCCAGTGACACATAATTATTGCTTTACAAATAATTTGCAACATGCAGGTATTCATATTTCAGCGAATTGTGGTGTTTTATTCCGTTTGTAAAAATGTTGCAAATGAGAAAGCTGATTACAGAATAACCATGACTGCCTAAAGATAATAAAGTGAGTGAGCTCAGTGAATCAAGTAATTACATTAGAGTGGTAATAAATCAACTCAATTCATGGAAAGTTAACATACGGAATACCGACGAGTTGATTCACAAAAATCTACATAAGGACTTAATATAAAGAGACAAAAAGTGGTTTAGTGAAGAGACTCATTTCTAAAGTTTCATGTATAACAGCTGTTCAGTTATTTACAACCTGATACGCGCAAATGACTGCAGCCACTGCTGCAGGATGAAATTTCCTAGAGTTCTATTGGGAAGTCGTAATCAGTGAGGTTCACTAGGTTGGCAGTGACGACAAATACTCGCTGATGACACTGGCAGGGGGACGCGCTGAATTTTGAAATTGGTAGAG